GCCGTAACGCAGGGCCCCCTTGCCCTGCTGTTGTGGGCACTGTCGCCCCCCGGTGGGAAGCAGGGCAGGAGCCCCACGGGCGGGGGGGGGGTCCCGGTGCCTCAGGGGTCCATCCTTAGTGGGGAGGAGGTGCTGCCTTTCCCCCAGGCTCAGCGGGGAGCAGGGGCCTGCCATGCATTCCGCTGGGTGAAGGGCCCTGGCCCACTCTGGGCTCGGGATCTGCGTTGGGGGCCTGCACTGGAGCCATGAGGTCTAATGGGGGGCTGTAAGGAGGCACAGCCCTGAAGTGATCTTCTACGGTTCAAGGACTTGCTCCAAAACACTGGGTGGAGGCTGTTTTGCGAAACCTCTTCCCCCCGGGCAGGGATGGATGCTGGGACACGGCACTGGGGGGGGTTCAGTGGGCTGCAGCCTCCGCCCAAGGGCTCAGCCAGCGCAGCACGGGGCCGAGCCTCCCTCAGGTGGGCTGCCAGTACTTGGCGGCGAAGGCTTTGGCTTGAGTTGGGTGCAGAGGTGCTGCCTGGGGAGAGCCCCTGCCTCTGAAAGGCTCCTGGGGCCCTGTACGGGTGATTTAATCTCCCTAACAGCGTTGCTGTTTGCAGGGCTGGGAGGGACCAGCGCTGGCAGGCAGCTCCACGTGCCCTAAAGACGCTCTCCCTGCGTGGGCAGCTGCTGCGGGCAGGGATGCTCCTGCCCCCGCTGGCCCAGGGCTCGCGGTCCTGAGCAACAGGCAGCTCTGCCTCCCCACTGCCCACTCCACCCACGCGGGGCTGAGGCTGGTTGGCAGGAAAGTCCATCCTGCCTGTGCCATGTGTGCACGGAGCCATGCAGGGGTATGTGTGGTGCGGGCTGGCTGGAGCGGGGTTCCTGCACGCTCCCCTCTGCACCCCCTGCTTGCAGCCTTCCCTGCCGCCCCTGCTCCCCCACCAGCCATGCTGCTTGCAAGTAACCAGCCCAGGATGCTGGAAAAGCACAATGTGGGGTCTGGGGATGCCCTACTGTGCTGGGGAGCTGGTGTGGGTGCTGGGGGGCTCCACTCAGCGTGCAGCCACTGGCCCTGCTCCCTGTGGGGGTGGCAGCACGTTGCCCTGCCTGCCAGGCTGCTGGGGTCCTGCCAGGCCACCTCACTGTTCCCGCTGTTATTTTTATCCAATTTGATGGAGTCTATTGCCTGGCAACTGCTGCACCGTGTGCTGTGCATCCTCCCCTTGATTCCTGGAGGGAGGCCAAGGTGGAGCTGGGAGGGCTGCCCAGGACCAGCCCTCGCCCTCCCTGGCAGCCCCTGCCTGCTGCTGTAGCAGGCTTGGTGCAGCCCACAGCCCCAGGCTGGCTCTGGGCTCCAGCTCTACCTGTTGCTTCTTCATGTCAGAGCTGACCCTGCTGCGCTGAGGTGCAGTCCCCCAGTTCCTCGGGGCCCTGGCAGGCCCGGGGAGTGCTGGGCCGTGCCTGTGGGGGTGCACAGCCACCCAGCATAGCTGCTCTGTGTGACTGGTTGGTCCAGCGCTGGATGCGGTTGCTGCAGCTGAGAAGAGGCTCTGCCTTCAGGCCTGGATGTCTCCCTGCCTGCAGTGTGGGGGCCCAGGCGCAGCCCCTGTGCCACGGTGCAAGGCCGTGACCGTGGGAGCACAGCTGTTCCTCTGGGGCAGGGGCAGCGCTGCTGGAGGCCGAGCTTTCCTGCTCTCCTTGTAGCTTCAGTAAGTAATTCCTCTGTCCGAGGCCAGGCTCAGCCCCTTACTGCCAGCCACGCCGTGGTCCATGCAGAGGAGGCAGGCCCCCCTGGGCCCTGCATCGGACAGCCACAGGAGGGCTGAGCAGGTTCCAGTTCTGCCTTTGCTTGCTGCTCGCGGGGCCGCCGGTGCTGCCGTTCCCCCGGGCGGAGCAGAGCCGCCAGCTGGGGCCAGGCCAGGGAGGTTTGCTGGCAGTTGGCTGTGCCTGGTGTGTCCAGCTGCGCTTGCCTGCCGAATCCCTGTCCCGCCTGGTGGCGAGAGCTGCGAGGTCAGGCAGGGCTTTGCCTCCTGCATCCCAGGCCCCGGGCCAGGATGCCAGCAGGGCCTGGGCAAGGCAGTGACCTTGCCTGCGGAGAGCAGCCCCGCGCTCCCGTGGTGGTGATGCAGCCTCCAGCTGCTAGCCAGCGAGGCCCGCAGGGGACGCAGACGATGTGGCCTACTTAGGCTTGGGCCCGTTTCAAAGTCCTGTGGCCGTGGCAGCAGCAGCCTGCGGGATCGGCCAGGCACCCCCCAGCTCCCGGGCTCGGCCTGGCTGGAGGCAGCACGCTGCCCACTGCGTCCTGCCTGCTCACGGCACCGCTCTGCACTGAGACGGTGAGAAAGTGCCCCCCCACAGCTCGGGTGGCTGTGAGCTGGGGAGCCCTCACCCTTCTCGATGGCTGCATCCAGCGCTCCCGTGCAGGCGTGGTGCTGCCATGTGCGTCGGCTCTTCCCAGCCTGGGGCAGGATGTTGCAAGCGGCAGCAGGGCCTGGCAGAGCTGCAGGGTCGGCCAGGGGCTGGTTCCTGTGTTCGGGGTGTGGGGCGTAGCTGGGGGCTCCAGCCCCGTGCCGGAACCATGGCAGGGCCATGCCGGTGTCGCCCTGGGGCAGGTGCAGCGTGGGTGGCGAGTGGCACTGGTGCCAGCCTGGGCGAGCAAAGTTGTTGTGGGGGGCTTGGTCCGGGCACACTCCCAGGCCTGGGCAGGGGTGCACAGACAGGCCTGTCCCCTGTGGCAGCCCTGGCGTTGCTTCGTCACTGCCGGGCACTGCGCCCGGAGCCTTCGGCACTGAATGAGTAACACTAGCACTGCTGGCTGCGCTTTCTCAATGAGCGTGGTGCAGGGGGAGCCTGCCTGTGCCTAGTGGGAAGGCTGCCCACACAAAGCAGGCAGCCAGCGCTTCTGCTGCGCTGGCCTGGGGTCCTTCACCTGCTGCCACCCCCTGCCCCTTCGCTGCTGCGGCCTCGTGGGCTGGCGGGGGCCGCTCTCCTGTTGTGGAGGGGTGTGGTGACTCTCGAGGCCCCAGGGGCAGAGCCTCAGCCCCTGGGGGCTGTGTTGGTCTGGGGTGGAGGTGGAGCCAGTGACATGGTAGCAGGAGATGCTGCCAGGAGCGCGGCAGCTCCGTGGGGCTGCAGAGACAGGGCCAGCCCTGCTGGGGCATGTCCAGCCCGGCTGGCCTTGGCTGGGCCCGGCCCGGCCCGGCCTCCTGGGCCGCCTCCAGGCTCTGCCCGGCCTCCGGCCTCCTGGGCCGCCTCCGCCGGCTATCCCTCCAGGCTCTGCCGGCTATCACAGCCGTACGGGGCCAGGTCCAGCCCCTGCCCATGGGCTCCCAGGGGACACGCTGTGGGCCCTGGTCCACGTGGCTGGGGTGAGGGGCTGGGGAGCCAGGCCTGTGCCTCTCCCCTAGTGCATGCTGGCTGGGGACAGCACCCGCAGGAAGGCATGATCCAGCTGCGAGTGCTGAGGAGGCGGCGGGCATGCTCCCCTGGCACAGCCTGGGGTCTGCGGCCCTTTGGCTGGGACCTGCTCCCCGCGGTGCTGCTGGGGGCTGTCGCAGAGACACCGATGGCCCCGGGAGAGAGGGAGTGGGTGGCAGGGGCCAGGCGCTGCTGGGAATGCACCTGGAGCTCTGCCACCCCGAGCATCCTCAGCCTGCCACGTGGTGAGGAACTGCTTGTGGAGACTGCCTGGGCAGGGCTGGCCCTGAGCTGGCGGCACCCATGGGGCTGCCGGGAGAAGGGGGGACGCTGGGGACACCGCTCCCCGAGACGAGGGCTTGCTGGGTTCAGGGTTTCCAAGAACAGAGCAGAATGGTAGCGGGGCTGGAGACCTGTCTGGGAACCGTCCTGGGAGGAGCAGGGGGAATAAGCGGGGAGCCCACAGAGGCTGGGGGAAGGAGTGCTGGGCCAGCCAAGTTGCGTCGAAGAGGTCAAGGGTGTAGGATGGAGCAGGAGCTGCCAAAGGCCCAGCTGAGCAGCACCCCGCGGGGGACGTGCACAGCAGAAGGTCCCTCACACTGATATGGAAACAAGGCGAGGAGCCGTGCCAGCGGCTGGGCAGCAGCGAGGAGCTGGGGCCGGCCCTGGCGCCTGGCGAACCTCACCTGCCTGTCCTGGCTGCCAGTGGCGGTGGTGCTGCCGGGCGGGAGCAGCACAGGCAGAGAGTGACTTTCCAAGGAAGGGGATTGTAGTCAGCAGAGTTTGCGCAGCGCTCGGGGAGAGGTTTCCAGGAGCGCAAGGCCTGGGCTCGGGAGAGGCCGCAGCAGGCAGCATCCAGGTGGGCTCTGCCCCAAAAGTCCCAGGTGCTGCAGGCCCTGGGTGACCCATCAGCTCTGTGTCAGGGGCATGGGGAGATGGTGCAGCTGGGCACCGTTTCGTCCAGAGACGCTGTGTCCGGAGAGTGGCCTGAGGCACTTGGCCACTGTGGGAGGGCCTGTGCCATGGGGTGGGTGCGGGCAGGCTTGGCGCAGGGTGGTGGGGAGCTGCATGCCGGGATGGACCCAGCGGGGCCGGAGCAGGCTGAGGCTTTCCCAGGGTCAGCGGGGCCGCAGGCAGACAGAGGCAGCACTCGGGCAGGAGGACCTGGCTGTCGACAGGGCGCTCCGGGGTCTCGCCCTGCCCCGGTGCACCGCAGCTGCCTGAGCGGGCTGTGCTGGTCGCAGGGGCACTCATGGGAGCTGGTGACGTGATTGCGCAGCAGCTGGTGGAGCGGCGAGGGCTGCACGGGCACCATGGCCCCCGGACCCTGAAGATGATGGCTATCGGCTTCTGCTTTGTGGTGAGTGCTAGCGTGCGGTGGGCACCTGGGCTCTGCAGCATGCATGTGGTAGGGTGGGATGGAGGGCTGGGATGGAGGGCTGTTTTGGCGGGGTGAGACCATGGTGCCTGCGTGTGAGCTGGGCCATCCTGGTGCCACCTCCAGCAGCTGCAGGCAGAGCTGGGTTCCCTCGAGGAGGAGCGCCCTGTCCCTGTGCCCAGCTGCGGGTGTGGGCACCCCTGGCTGCACTGCGGTGTGGGATGGGGCTGGCAGCCTCTGTCCGTGCAGCCCGGGCACCTGTGCCCATCCCTGCTGCTGGTGCCAGCCCCTGGGGAGGTTTCACTTGGCAGGAGGGTGACTCCACACCCAAGGGTGCAAACGTGCTTTGCTCCGCTGTGCACGATGAGGACAGATCCTGACCCATCAGCTCCTGTGCTCGGGGGTGGGGGTGTTGGGCCCAGTGCCCTGCACTGGTGGCTCGGGCAGGGAGGGCCCTGGGCGGTGCTGGCACAGCCGGGGTCCCACCGCCATGGAGCCCTGCCCAGTGTGTTAGGCGTGAAGCCCTGCGGCCACCCCGCTGGAGCAGGCCCTTGGTTGCCCTGTGCTGGTGCTGGTGCTGCCTGGCGGAGTGCTCTAGGAGGGGCAGGGGGGGCTGCGGGCATTCCTGCATCCACCCTATGCAGGGGGGCTGCCCCACAGCAGTGTGGGACCCAGTGAGGGAGCGGCACAGTTCAGGAGGGGAGGCAGGACAGGCCCCAGTCCCTGTGTCCCAGGGCTGGAGCAGGGCCATGTAACCAGCTCTGGAGACCCCCCAGCCCTGACACCCCATGGCCCGGGAGAGCAGGACGCTGCCCCTCACCACCCAGCTCCTGCAGGGCCCTGTCGTGGGCGGCTGGTACAGGATCCTGGATCAGCTCATCCCGGGGACCACAAAAGTCGTGGCTGTGAAGAAGATGGTCCTGGACCAGGTCAGTGCCACGTG